GCCGTGCATCTAATGGATTTGTTTGCCTTGGACTTTTGTTTATTATTTTTTTTTTCTGCCCGTACTGCTTTTTGAGTTCCGTATGATCATACCTGACACCCTCCCTGCTGTTTTACCTGCCATGACAGGGAAAGGGCCCTTTTGATGTTCAGTGGCATGCTGTGCATGTGTCAGACTGAGCGCCGGGTAGTCCCATGACACCCAATGCTCCTGCGCTGAGTATGAGGAGGAGGCACTTCAATCTTAGTATACTGTACGTGTGGTTCCCTCATGGAGCTGCACACAACCTGGTGGCACAGGTAGCACAGGCCAAGGAGGGAGCAAAAATCATTTGTCATTCTGACAACAGATATTTGCGCCCCACGCGGCTTGTTGTTAAATTATACTGCCCTCCTTGACTTGCACCCTGTTTACATTAAAATTATGTCAGAGGGTTCATTTGGTGCTATGAAATGCTTATTGTGCAACAAGCCAGGCATAGCAAAACTATTTCATCCCAGGCGGGTGCAGCTTTCTATTTAGGATCACTATACATGCCTAAAAATACTCTGAAACACTCAAACAGAAAAAGCTGTTATATTGGAAAAAAAATTTACATTTTATTTATTTTTAAAACATTTTATTTACAGCAGGCAAAGGAAATTAATTCAGTACCTATATTTCTAAACTGAAAGTGAGTACAAAGGCAACAAAACTAAAACGTTAAAACATTATTGACATTGAATTGCAAAGGAAACTAAATCCCAATTGTCCATGGTTGCGTGTGATTTCCAAGTTAATGATAAACAAAGTACAAACTAAAGAAAAAAGTAGAATTCCAAGGGCGACCTATGGTACTATAAAAGTCCTGAAACAGTAGGCTTGCTATATGATTTCTTATTTCAGTCATATATAGTAGGAGGAAATGGCACTGCTCCCTACAAATTCTTACCTCTTTCGCTCCATGCCATTGCTTCACAAAAAGTGTGATGTATATACTGCACAAACTAAAAGGGACTGGAGGACTCTCTGTGATGTGGCAGTTAACATGATATAAAGTGGCCCAGCGTACGATGCTATCACTGATAAAATTGACCAATAATAGGGCCTGATGGGTGTCACATGAGGAAGGGATGGGTAGCACCGGACCCCAAAACACTATTATTAGTCTGACTTTCCTATTCCCATCCTTGCAGCATATCCTGGCCTATCCTCAGATACCTAGATTACATGACCAAGGGGACCAAGTGATACCCACTTTAATTTTCACCAGATCGTGACATTCTTCTGATTCGGTGTACAGTTCCATGCAGGGCCGGACTGGGAAAAAAATCTGGCATGGGTATTTTTCAATCTGAGAAGGGGGCAGGGCCCGAGAGGGTGTGTTTTGTCAGCACTAATGACAAGCACACCCCCTCTCAAAGTGAGCATGTTGGTTCAATGTTGTCAGGAAATAATTTCACTTGATGGGGAATATTGTACTGGCAGAGACTGAAAATCTATGAAATACTCTTTTACAGTGTTTAATATCCAAATATCTGATGAAATGAGAAATCATACATGGAAAAAATGAAGGCGTCTACACCCCACTGCCAATAGGGAAGAATGAAAATTGAGAGGACTTTCCATAAGGTCATCGTCCTGAGTGAGTGCCTCGTGATCCACGAGCAACCCAGGCTGTGGGAAGAAGGCTGGAGTATTGCGGTGTTCCAGGAAACTGGCCCGCCCTGCAGTAGTGTACTAAAGAGGGAGGAAGGGGTTGCCAACAGGCCTGGCCAGGCTTGGGGTTCTGTGAGCTGTGTGGCTGCACAGGGCGCCGGTCAGCCGACACAGCTCACACACGCAGGCATGGGCGTCTCCAGGAATTTTTCCAGGGAGGGCATAATTGTAATGACATCCATGCTTGGCCCCTTTTTGACAGTGTCATGAATGGCAGGAGCATAGTCATTATCACATAAAGCCAGGGTGAATAGCGTTTTCACAACTATGGTGTCAGGAATACATGTTTGTTTTCCTGACACTATAGTGTTCCTTTAATCAAATTAAAGAAACATTCAGGTCATCATAACAACTTCATCTAAATTAAAATGCTGTGATGCAAGGAGGCCCCTGGGCACTCCCTTCATTTGACACAGTCTTCTTTTTCTTCTGACATGGTTTTCTCTCCTCCTTTGCTCCTTCATCTTTCTGCTACTTTCTGCTTATTTTGCACCCTTCTGCTCCTTTCTCTTTCTGGTCTCTTTCTGCTCCTTGCAGACCCTTCCTTCTCCTTGCATGCCCTTCCTGCTCCTTGCTGCCCCTTCCTGCTCCTTGCTGGGCCCTCCTGCTTCTTGCAGACCCTTCCTGCTCCTTGCTGTCCCTTCCTGCTTCTTGCTGCCCCTTCCTGCTCCTTGGTGTTCCTTTTCCTACTTTACCTTTGTGCTCCTTCTGCCCCTTCCAGATCATTGCTGACCCTTTCTGCTCCTTGATTTCCCTTCCTACTCATTTCTGTTCCTTCTCCTTCCTGAAACATGGAAACATAGAAACATATAATGTGACGGCAGATAAGAACCATTCGGCCCATCTAATTTGCCCAATTTTCTAAATACTTTCTTTAGTCCCTAGCCTTATTTTAGCCTTATGCCTATCCCATGCACGCTTAAACTCCTTTACTGTGTTAACCTCTACCACTTCAGCTGGAAGGCTATTCCATGCATCCACTACCCTCTCAGTAAAGTAATACTTCCTGATATTATTTTTAAACCTTTATCCCTCTAATTTAAAACTATGTCCTCTTGTTGTGGTAGTTTTTCTTCTTTTAAATATAGTCTCCTCCTTTACTTTGTTGATTCCCTTTATATATTTAACTGTTTCTATCATATCCCCCCTGTCTCGTCTTTCTTCCAAGCTATACATGTTAAGATCCTTTAACCTTTCCTGGTAAGTTTTATCCCGCAATCCATGAACCAGTTTAGTAGCCCTTCTCTGAACCCTCTCTAATGTATCAATATCCTTCTGAAGATACGGTCTCCAGTACTGTGTACAATACTCCAAGTGAGGTCTCACCAGTGTTCTGTACAATGGCATGAGCACTTCCCTCTTTCTACTGCTAATACCTCTCCCTATACAACCAAGCATTCTGCTAGCATTTCCTGCTGCTCTATTACATTGTCTGCCTACCTTTAAGTCATCAGAAATAATCACCCCCAAATCCCTTTCCTCATATGTTGAGGTTAGGACTCTATCAAATATTCTGTACTCTGCCCTTGGGTTTTTATATCCAAGATGCATTATCTTGCACTTAGCCACATTAAATGTCAGTTGCCACAATTCTGACCATTTTTCTAGTTTACCCAAATCATTTGCCATTTGGCTTATCCCTCCTGGAACATCAACCCTGTTACATATCTTAGTATCATCAGCAAAAAGACATACATTACCATCAAGACCTTTTGCAATATCACTAATAAAAATATTAAAGAGAATGGGTCCAAGTACAGATCCCTGAGGTACCCCACTGGTGACAAGTCCAAGCTTCGAATATATTACATTAACTACAACCCTCTGTTGCCTGTCATTCAGCCACTGCCTTACCCATTCAACAATATTGTAATCCAAACTTAAAGATTGCAGCTTATTGATAAGCCTTCTATGTGCAACAGTGTCAAAAGTCTTACTGAAATCTAGGTAAGCAATGTTTACTGCACCACCCTGATCTATAATTTTAGTTACCCAATCAAAAAAATCAATAAGATTAGTTTAGCATGATCTCCCTGAAGTAAACCCATGTTGTCTCTGATCTTGAAATCCATGTGTTTTTAGATGTTCAACAATCCTATCCTTTAACATGGTTTCCATCACTTTCCCCACTACTGAAGTAAGGCTTACTGGCCTATAGTTGCCCGACTCCTCCCTATTACCTTTCTTGTAAATGGGCACAACATTCGCTAACTTCCAATCTTCTGGGACTACTCCTGTTAACAATGATTGGTTAAATAAATCTGTTAATGGTTTTGCTAGTACACCACTAAGCTCTTTTAATAGCTTTGGGTGTATTCCATCAGGTCCCATTGACTTATTTGTCTTTACTTTTGACAGTTGAACTCGGTAAACTCACGTGTAATAAATGACTAATTTATCCTTTTTGTTAACTGAGGTCCCTTTCCTTCGTTTTCATCTGAAAAATATTCATTGAGGCAGTCAGCTAGACCTTTATCCTCTTCTACATACCTTCCTTCTTTTGTTTTTAATCTAACTAATCCTTGTTTTACTTTTCTTTTCTCATTTATGTATCTAAAAAATGTTTTATCCCCTTTTTTACTGACTGTGCTATTTTCTCTTCTGTGTGTGATTTGGAAGCTCTTATAACTTGCTTAGCCTCTTTCTGCCTAATCTTATAGATCATTTTGTCTTCCTCACTCTGGGTTTTTTTATAATTCCTAAATGCTAACTTTTTGTTTTTAACTATTTTGGCCACATCTGTGGAGTACCACAGTGGTTTCTTGAATTTTTTGCTTTTACTGATAAGCCTAATGCAATTTTCTGTTGCCTTCAATAGTACAACTTTTAAATAATCCCATTTCTCTTGGACTCCATTTAAATAGCTCCAGTCTGATAATGACTCCTTTACCCATATTCTAATTTTAGAAAAGTCTGTTTTTCTAAAGTCTAAAACTTTTGTTTTTGTGTGGTGTGACTCAGTCACTGTTCTTATATTAAACCACACTGACTGATGATGACTGGATCCTAAACTTTCACCTACAGTAATATCTGATACCAAATCTCCATTTGTTAACACTAAATCTAGTATGGCCTCTTTACGAGTTGGCTCCTCAACAACTTGTTTTAGAGACAATCCCAGTAGGGAGTTTAGAATATGTGTGCTCCTGGCACAAGTAGCTAATTTTGTTTTCCAATTTACATCAGGAAGATTAAAGTCACCCATGATGATAACTTCCCCCTTCATTGTCATTTTAGCTATTTCCTCAACTAGTAGATTATCTAACTCTTCAATTTGTCCTGGGGGCCTATAAATCACACCTACACGAGTTACTGTGTGATTACCAAATTCTAACGTACCCAAACGGACTCTATGTTTGCCTCACTAACTTTTATTAGGCTAGATTTTATGCTATCCTTCACATACAAGGCCACCCCTCCCCCTTTCTTGCCTTCCCTATCTTTCCTATATAAAGATTACCCTGGTATTGCTATGTCCCAGTCATTTTTCTCATTATACCATGTCTCAGTAACAGCGACTAAATCTACACTATCAGTTGCCATTATTGCCACAAGTTCATGGATCTTATTCCCTAAACTGCGAGCATTTGTAGACATGACTCTAAGCTTATAATTTTTTAACACACTTGCTACAGGCACCTTTGTCCTTGTTTTGGGGGACAATTGGATTGATGTTTTATCACCCTTTTGCCCCCTCCTCCTAGTTTAAATACATCCTAGCAAAACCTCTGAACTGCTCACTGAGAACATTTGTTCCCTTTTGAGAAAGCTGCAAACCATCTTTTTTGTACAGGTTATTTCCATTCCAAACAGAGCTACCATGAGAAATAAAGCCAAATCTTTGCTCCCGACACCATTCACCAAGCCACAAATTAAAGTCCCTAATACGCATCCGCCTGTCGTTCTGAGTGTTATGCACAGGCAGAACTTCAGAGAATGACAGTGTGGAAGCAACCTGCCGTATATCATTGGCAAAAACACTAAAAACTTCCTTAACCTCTGAAACCTCATTGCAAGCCAAGTCATTTGTCCCTAGATGGACAAGTACATCCAATTCCCCTTCCTGCTTTGCTTGCTTAACAATATTACAGATACGTCTCCTGTCTCTGTGAGCAGTAGCTCCGGGAAGACACCTCACAAGAACACCATTGTCCATCTCCACACCTCTTATAATGGAATCCCCCAACAACAACTGCTTTCTATTAGGCCTCACCATAGTCTCCAAGCCGGTCTCCACAACACCACTAGCCTCAGTGCCTCTCTCCACAACACCACTAGCCTCAGTGCCTCTCTCCACAACACCATTACACTCTGAAAGTGCAGAAAATCAATTATGAAGAGCAACAGACTGTGCAAAATGCCTTTTATCCACAACTTTAAGTCTACCAGAAAGGAACAGAAATGAGCAGGAAGGGTCTGCAAGGAGCAAAAAGAGTCAGCAAGGAGCAGCTCATCTCTGTTCCTTCTCCTTTCTGCTCATTTCTGTTCCTTCTCCTTTCTGCTATTTCTCCTACTTTACCTTTGTTCCTTCTCCTTTCTGCTCCTTTACCTTTGTGCTCCTTCTGTCCCTTCCTGCTCCTGCTGCCCCTTTCTGCTCCTTCTCCTACTTTACCGTCCTGCTCCTTCTGCCCTTTCCAGCTCATTGCTGTCCCTTTCTGCTCCTTCTGTCCCTTCCTGCTCCTTGCTGACTCTTTTTGCTCCTTGCAGACCCTTCCTTCTCCTTGCAGACCCTTCCTGCTCATGTCTGTTCCTCTCTGTCCTTCTGCCGCTTCCAGATCATTGCTGACCCTCACTGCTCCTTGATGTCCCTTCCTGTTCATTTCTGTTCCTTCTCCTTTCTACTCCTTCTCCTACTTTACCTTTGTGCTCCTGATTCTTTCTGCTCCTTCACCTTTTTGACTCCTTATATCCCTTCCTGCTCCTTGCTGCCCTTTCTGTTCCTTCTCCTACTTTACCTTTGTGCTCCTTCTAATTCTTTCTGCTCCTTTACCATTGTGCTCCTTGCTGCCCCATCCTGCTCACTTCTGTTCCTTCTACTTTCTGCTCCTTCTCCTACTTTACCTTTGTGCTCCTTCTGATTCTTTCTGTTCCTTTACCTTTGTGCTTCTTCTGTCCCTTCCTGCTGATTGCAGCCCCTTTCTGCTTCTTGCTGCCCCTTCCTGCTTCTTGCAGCCCCTTCCTGCTTCTTGCAGCCCCTCCCAGCTCCTTGTTGACCTTTTCTGTTCCATGTAGACCCTTTCTGTTCCTTCTCCTACTTTACCTTTGTGCTTCTTCTGTTTCTTTCTGCCCCTTATTTCTTCTTGCTGCCCCTTCCAGGCCTTTCCTGCTTCTTGCTGCCCTTCCTACTCTTTGCTGACCCCTCCTGCCCCTTGCAGACCTTTCCTACTCCTTGCAGTCCCTTCCTGCTCATTGCTGACCCTTCCTGCTCCTTGCTGACCCCTCCTGCTCCTTGCTGCCCCTTCCTGCTAATTTCTGCTCCTTCTACTTTACTATCCTGCTCCTTGCAAACCTTTCCTACCCCTTCCTGCTCCTTCCTATTCCTTGCTGACCGCTCCTGCCCTTTGATGTCAGGCATGGGTGCCTCTGATTGGCTAGAGTGGTCAGCTGACGCTCTAAGCCAATAGCTAGTTCCCGATTCATAAAAATGTGCCTGAATCAAGGCTTGTGCCAATGTCTGTGACGGGGAGTCAGACATTACTCCCATAGCTGACTTTAGGGCTTTAGGGCTTTAGTCATAGCTTTTGACATAGAATTGTCAATCAGGGTCTGCATTTCAGCAGAAGTATCAAACTCAGCGGAGAAAACTGCTCCATCTCCAGACGCATCTGAAGACGTATCAAAAACAACCTGGGTGGGGATGCTGAAGTATCTTTATCAGATGGCATTCTTATATGTAAAAATGACAAGAGCAAGAATACAAATATAATACAATATAACCTAGGTGAAGGGTTGAATAACCTAGAAATAGAAGATCTATTGGGAAGGAAAGGTTTACTCACAGGAATTGCAAACCGTAGTAATAATAGTCAGGAAAAAAATCAGAGCAGTCCGACCGCCAGTAAAAACTAACCCCAACTTCGAGTTCCTGCCGTTGGGGGCAGTACCAGGGTCAGGCCACGGGAAAAAGACAAGAAAATGGCTGCCACAAACGGCCAAACACACGAATCAAAGTAGGAGAACCAGGAGTGTGTTTGTTGACACGAACGCAAGGTTTATGGAGCGTTCGCGTCATAATACGTTGCTGCGTTCGCAGGGAAAAAAACTCCCAAATAGGGTAACTGAATGATACGCACGTGTGTTGGACGATAAAATTGAGGGAAGAAGGCGCAAAAGCGTTGAACAGGGAACAAGAACTCCCTGCAGACGTCCATGAGCACTAATAATAAACACGGGGGCCCAGGGAGGTTAAAAAGAAAAATAAGCAAGCTCAGAGGAAATTATAAAACTATATATAACAATTACATTAATGAATAAACACAAAATTCATAATAGTACTACAGTAATAGCTAAGTAAAAATATTACAATATTTAACTGAACAATATAATACTGTAAGAAATATGTACTAATAATTAAGAATATTAAGAATAATACGTAGAAGAAGAAACCGTGGGACCTGGTGTAACTTAATAGACGGAGCAGCAAAGAAAGAGGGAACAGTTTATTTGACGCTGCCTATTATGCTGGAGAGTGGAATCTGATTGGCTGTTCCTATCGCTAAGAAAATATACCTCTCATGCTATTTATTATGATACTGTTTGAATGTTGTATTTTTTCTTTGCTGCTGATGAAAATAAAGAAAGAGTGCAGCATAATAGGAGCCTCCGTGTATTACTAAAATGACTCGTTGTATAGCAATGTGAGCATCCATCTTCTGTAGTTAACACGCTTTAAGGGGATATTGGTACATTTATCATTGCATTTGCTCACTCTCTATTTCGTACCCTCCTCATCAGAGTAACCTCTCCCCTCATCTACGTTACGGCATTATCTTAGTACAGCTATTTCAATGTTAGTAATTTGTTTAAATTGCATATGACTAGTTCCTGATTATCACAACTCTTCTAAATCATTTGGCATTTGTTGAACAATTTGTTATTGTGTTGCATATGTTAACTACGACCCATAATTGGGTGTAATTGAGCCTTTCGTGTATTATGCTTTTACAATTGAATTATTTTCTATGCAAAATCAGAATATTTGAAAATGTATTTTCTCTTGTATTCAATAAAAAGATGTTGCAGGTGTTAACAAGCCTGCAGTGAAGCTGGCCTTTCCACTATGGCCCAGTAGTGGCATCGGATGATCTCAGTGGGTGGCCATTGTTGCACCACTCGCAATACTTGGGATATATTTCCATCTCCTTACGTTTATGATTTATGTTATCTCTGTTTTCTGTTATATGCATTTTATATGAGGACTCAAATTGCTGCCCAGTGGTACAATTACAGATGGTACAATAACAGATAGTCGCCCTATGAGTTCCCTCAATATGTTGTGTTTTCTCAGTTGCCTGATGAGCATGTTATCCTGTTGTGTAGAGGCAGGGCCGCCATCAGGGCATGACAACCATAACTGTTGTCATGGGCCCGGCGATCCTGGGGGGCCCGAACTGCTCTGGCAGTCTGAGTCCCACATTCCTTATGTGCACAGATATATAACGAATTTCGCTATATATCTGTGCACTGAGGGCCTCCCTACCTGTAAATTGCAGAGGGGGGCTTAGCAGCACACTCTGTCCTCCTTCCAGCTCCTCTCTTTCTAACTCTCCTGCGGCCGCCAGAGCGTTGCACTGGGTTACCATGGCAACGCTCCACACAGCACGCAGGCTGGTCTCGCGAGAGTTCGTCAGAGAGGAACTGGAAAGGAAGACAGTGTGTACTGCTGGGCCCCCCTCTGCAATGTACCACGCTGGCTCCATCCACCATGCCACTGGACCACCAGGGAATGCCATCTCCCCCCTCCCTGGCAAGGTAAGAACCAGGGAGGAGGGAATAAAATTAAAATTTTAAATATACACAAATATATATTTTTTTTAAATACTCCCCTCCCCCCTACTTTACACAAACACTGCATCCTTACAAGCACACACACACTACATTCACTGAACACACTCTGCACTACACACACACACACACACTACATTCACTAAACACACTCTGCACTACACACACACACACACACTACATTCACTGAACACACTCTGCACTGCACACACACACTACATTCTCTAAACACACTCTGCACTACACGCACACACACACACACTACATTCACTAAACACACTCACACACTACACACACACACTACATTCACAGATCACACTCATACACTACATTCACTAAACACACTCTGCACTACACACACACACTACATTCACTAAACACACTCTGCACTACACACACACTACATTCACTGAATACACTCTGCAGTACACACACACTACATTCACTAAACACACTCTGCACTACACACACACACACACGTACTACATTCACTATACACACGTTGCACTCACTACAAACACACTACATTTACTAAACACACTTTGCACTCACTACAAACACTGCATTCACTATACACACTCTGCATTCACCACAATCACACTACATTCACATACACATTTTGCATTCACCACA